TGACCGTGATATGTCCCTCTACAATGCAATTTCTGAACTTTTAAAACTCTCACTGCTTGCTACATATTCCCAGGTCATCAAGTTATCATTGAAACTGAAAGTATAGAGGTTCAACATGCTATCCAAGGAGTGCACACATCATTGGAGACATTGGCAGATAATCAAGCAAATTATGTAGTGCTTTAAAGTGAATCGGGTCCACCCCTAATTTCATGTGACAATGCACATATGCTTGTTTTGCATGACTAAATAGTGCTTGCTAAACCTATATTGCTAATGGTTATTGATAATTTTTCTATTTGATACCAAGTTTAGAATTTGTTCCCTGTTTTCTAATTCTCTTTTGCATTTAAAGAAAGGAAAGATTTGTGTTCATTTTGGTAATTAACTTCGAAAGGGAACAAATCGAGAGAGATAACTTGATCCAATCCCAACAAGTTTGCTCAAACTCATGATTCAAAACCATACTCTTAGTCTTAGTCTATGTAAATCTTACCCAAAGTTATAATATCTCTCTCTCTCTCTGAGATGTATATGTACTAACCATTTCCCAATCAAGTAGCATGTTTGGTTGAGGTCTTGAGGATAATTTTAATTTGACAAGGTCACGGGTTTTCAAAAGCCAATATATATAAATATCACTGAAATATTTGAAACCAAGCAATTACATTCTGTAATGGCTTAACCATTCTTTGCCAAGGCCAAATTGCACATTTGTTTTTATTATTGTTGATGTCAAAGGTTCTAATTTATGCATTTCTATAATAATTAGGTGTAGCATTATATTATGTGTATACTCTATATTGATAATGTTTATGAATGTGTTATTGATACTTCTAAATGTGGCCGTTCTCAAGTATACATACAGTTTGGATAGTAAAGTGAGTTTCTGGATGTTAAACTGGATATTGACTAAAACTCATACACATAATCTGGATGCTATGTGTTTCATCTATATATCGGCTCACATGTAACGTTTAGTCCCTCAAACTAGGTAGTATTAAAATTACTTTTCAAATGATAGAAATGCTCTTAAAATGCATAACATGAATCTAATGTGAGATTCTGCCGAGTGTTTAGCAGGATAAATGACAAAAAAACAGGCCAAAATGCAAAAAAAGTTTAATATTGTGGCACCAAAATCGGGAAAACTAAGAGTTCTTCGCTGACACGGAAGTGACTTAATCGCCATAGGAGTGGAAATAATTGTGTAATATATGAGTATCATCTCTTTGAGGTGTGTATGAAGACTACGAACAAATCTATATTTACCAAAGAACTGTGTTTGAGATTCCAGTTTTGTTTCTCAAAGAACACGTTGGTGTTCTTTGTGTTATGATCTATTTACCAAAGAACTTAGTGATAACAATCAGGACCGTATAATGAATTTGGTGGGCCCGGTTCTAAAAGTAAAATCGAGGCCCCAAATTAATATAAAAAATTTAAAAAAAAATATCAATCGAAGTACTTATAGTCAAATCAATTGAATACTCATTAAAAGAGAACTAAAAGAGTAAAAGGACCAACAAAAAAATGATAGATCTATATTTTTCTCCTTACTAACTGTATTTTACTAATTGGTATTAATATATAATATTACTCTATACTATATAGGGGGTGTTTGGAACTGATTCTGCTTCTGCTTCTTTTTTAAAGTAGAAGCAGAATCAGAATCAGTTTTCAGAAGCTGGTACCCCCCAACTTCTAAAAAAACTGATTCTGGGAGTAAATTAGAGCACCAGAAGTGCTTCTGGAATTTCACCCAAACACTCCAGCTTCTGTTTCTGCTCCTTGAAGGAGCAGAATCAGTTTTGAGAATCAGATCCAAACACCCCCATAATACTGAAAGAAATTTAAAATTTTGGGGCCCCATAAATTCGGGACCCTGCTCTAGATTACTCATTGAACCTCCTAATAAACGGCCATGATAACAATAAGAGATAAAACACAATATATGGCATGCTTTTTTTTTTTTGCTTCTCTCTAAAGGTTTCTTAACGTACACATAAATAAAAGAGAAGAGAACTTTATTTGAAACAGATTATTTACAAGTTTTTTTTAATGTACAAGTTTTTTTTATTGGAATAACAACTTTATTAATCAATATCGTTCAACAAAAGTTCAGTAATACAATCATGCGGATAATTTAACCAAACATGATCAGACGCAGAAACGGCAAGCCTAGCTAAAGCATGAGGCACCCAATTCGTTGATCGATTCACAAACTGGACAATTATTTCTGCAGAATCAGCCATCAAATGTCTAATGCTAGCAAAAATTCCATCGTTATAGCCTATAGGAGAAGCCATCTACTGAATAAACACCTTGAACCACCTATTTGGCATCCCACTCAATTATCACCTGCTTTAAAGATAAAACAAGTTGTTTTATCTTTAAAAAATCTAATTTTTATCTTATTTTCAGCAATTTCAAGACAATATATAATTAGTCTATTATCTCGTGCAACGCACGAGTTAAAGACTAGTTGATACTTGATATAATTAAGGGAAAAATAATTAAAATACTCCAAAGTTTGATAGGGTGCGAGATAAGCACCCCAAACTTGCTTATGTAATTTAAATATCCCAAACTTTATATAAAGAGTTATTTTAGCACCTTGGTCATGTGTTATTTCTTTCAAAAATGTTAATTTTTGGTGTTAATTTCATAATGTGAAATTATATAGCATTCATAAAACGAATTAATTCCACTTTTGGTCCTACGAGTTTTATTTCATTTCCACATTTAGTCTACATCTTTCATTTTATCCACTTTTGGTACTTGACTAATGTTTCTTGACCATTGGTTGTCCTTTTCTGGCAATTTTAACCACCGTTATTGGCGGAAGGACCATATATGGGCAAAAATACAATAGTCATGTACCAAACGTGGTCAAAGTCAAAGACGTGGATCAATTTTGGAATAAGTGTGATACTCGTAGGATCAAAAGTGGAATTTATTCTTCATAAAAATACAATTAACATTCTAATGTTCCATTGTAAAATAAATAGTATTACCCCCCACTATATACAATTTCAACGTTTTCAATTTGCTATTTTAAATTTTAAACTATGCAATTAACACCATAAATTTACATTTTTGAAAAAATAATGCATGATCATGATGTTAAAATAACTTTTTATTTAAAGTTTGGTGTATTTAAATTACGTATGAAAGTTTGAGGTGTTTATCTCACACTCCTATAATTAAACGCATTTTTGCAATTGTTGAGGTTGTTTTATCAAAATTTTATATTTTTAATCACAAACAACATAATTTCAAATATGTTATTGTTATTGTTATGCTCTTGAGTCGCTCTGGAAGGGCTAAAACACTATATGAGTCGGTTAGGCCAATTCATGTAATTAGTTTCTTTTATCAAATAAAATGTGCATTTTCCCTTATACTTTATACCTCCTTCATGTTCATCAATCCGTCATCCGTGAACCGTGATATATCCTAGTTCAAATGAGACTAATAGAGTTATATATTTGATATATAAGTCATATATATTGCAAACTTGTTTTATACTGGTTTAGTCGACGGGTATCCGCACTGGTGGTTGTCTCAGATGAGACGCTTTGCTCTACCCTAGAACTCTATAGTTCTTCTCTCACCCCTTTTAATGTCGGGATTTCTTACTAGAAAGTAATCGGCTATTGAGTAGTACTCATAGCTATATAAGATAGGTTATCTTGGATATATGTATGACACCTAAGTAATGAGTAAATCATACGCTATTTTTAAATTTTAAGAATATAATCAATATTACGCATCAAAATTTACTAATATTGGGTTTAGATAATGTTGTTTTTTCAGAAGTAATAATAATTCTTTACTCGTAATGAGTTATGAGAGACTTAATATATCAATCAAATTAAAGGTATTTCATAAATATATATTCTCAAACTTTCAGGGGGTCGGCTGACTACCTGACCTTGCTAAAGCCTCGGTATATGGAAGGAAAATTTCTTTTGTACAAGTCATTTGGACATACTATCCTCCGTCTCTTTTTAATCGCAACATGTTGAATTTTACACTATTCACATGTTCTACTTTGACTACATTTTATACTATTATTTTATGAAAATTATTTTTTTTAAATTATATTTTTCAATTCATCTCATTACAAATTTTCAAAATCTAATTTTTAAATATTTTTTACTAATAGGGATTAAGATATAATTACGGTCAAAGATGTGCGTTGGCAAGTGTGAAATGTTGACCGTTACAACTAAAAAAGAACAGAGAAAGTATTTAGTATGCACACTCTATATTTTACCGGTGTACTTCAATTTGTCTAAAAAAGTACAAAAAAGTTGTTTGTACCCACCCTTGTAGCATTTTTTACTCACCATGTTTGTGCAAGATTTTTTTGCTTGTTTGTAAATTCCGTTCATAGACTAGTGGGTATAAGGTGGGTATAAGAGCGTGTAGAACAAGAATGATTCAAAAATGTACTCCTCTTCACACAAAGATGTACTTCAATTTTTACCGGTGTACTTCAATTTGTCTAAAAAATTGAAAATGTTCATGCACGCAAACACGTGTATGCACGTCTCGGTATGTACATTAAGACCAATCGTTGATTGAAAATGTTCAATTTTTTTTTTTTTTGTTGCTTGAATTCATGCAATGCTACGTATAGTCCTCGTTCATCTGGCATTGTGGCGTATGTCATTTGATTGCACCCCATTATTATCAAATCCACCTCCTTGGTTTATTCCAAAATGTGACCAAAATCCATCTGTTCCTTTTGACAACCCCCATGTCAACTTTCTGCAAACCTTTTAAATCTCATCGGTTACTACCCTTAAATTTTGGGGTACGATTTGTTTCCAATTGACTCTTTAGTTTATATTTATGGCTTAATGGCTATGAGCTTAAACATTTAAATAGCGGTTCCTCGATCTCAATTTGACCATTTTTGGGCTTAGTTGTGACTATATGCAAAAACATGCAAATAAGGAACACACAACAAACTCACAATCAGTAATGATGGTTGTTCAGCTATATACCTTTTACTATTTGATCAGAACTATTTCTGAGCAACAAAATTTATGTTAAAAAAACTGAGGAATTAATAAGAAAGAATATTTTATGTACAAAGGAGAAAAATATAAATTGATGTTTACCAGAGAGTCACCACCATTGGTGCACAAAAACTCCCCTCTCTCTGAGAGAAGAAAACAGAGCAAGGCATTGATCATAAGTCTTTTGATACTTTGGACTTCTAACACCTGGGCAACACCTCTGCCACCTACTGTAATGGCATTCCAGGAACAGCTCATCCACCAAACACATCACCCCACTCTCAATCATCCTCGGAATCAGATGAAACTCTGTCCCTTCCACATCCATCTTCATCACCACATAATCGTTCCTCAACCCCAAACCCTTCAACCATTTCGCAAAATCAAATCCCTGGATCTTGTCTGCCTTCCCTGTGAATTCCAGTGAAGATTGCACTGTTTGAATCCTCCCCATTCCTCCTCTGGATCTATCCATGTTCTTGTTTGGTTCTCTGGTTATCTCAAAGAACAGGGTCTCGTTCCTAATCCATGCGGCGTAAGGAAGAAGGGTAACCCCTTTCTTCGTTCTGTATTCATCGTGGAATGTGCTGTCTGCTTCAATTGCATAGATTTGGAATGGTTTGTTCTGTTTTGGATAGTGCTTTTTAAACCAATTGCCTATGCTGGAGGCATAGTTCCTAGATCCAACATCAATGTATATATATTTATGCTTGAAGCTGATATCTACGATGGAAGAGAGATATGTAATGTTCTTTAAATTTCTCCTAAAAATTACCCAGGGCTTCAATGGTTCTTCTGCAATCAGTGGTTCTGCTTTTCTGATCAATTCATGAATGAATCCTGGAGCAGAGCATTTGGAAGCTTTTTTCCTCCTCCCATCAACATAATCATCAGGAATAGAGTTGTCTTTCATCAACACGACTTCGCGAATGTTTTGAGATGGGAAATCAATTCCGTCAATTTCACTGGTTCGAATTGCTCTGCAGGAATTGAATAACGCGAGAAGGGAGTTCAGACTGTACAGATCTGTTCCTGATGTAAGGACCACGAAGAAGCCTCCCGGGTTTAGGGTTCTGGAAACTTCCTTCGCGAACTCGGTCGGTCTATCCGTACGCTCCAGATCCATATTGCCGGAAAATATGAAGTCAAACGCTTCGTCCTTGAACGGAATCCGAGAGCCATGACCGTACCGAACTAACGGCGGAGATGATTTCGCGGCGATTCCGATTGAATCGGCGACCCCGATTTCTCGCAATGTGGCGACGTCTTCACCGGTTAGGGTTCCGATGCAGAGAGTTCTGGAATTGAGGGAGAGGAATCCCTCGGCGATGAGATCGTGGAAGAGGGAAGAGTAGAAGTCCCGGAGACGGACGGCGGCGGCGGTGTTGATCGCGTCAGTGACTGCACGGGAGTCGTAAGTGTTGCCTGTAATGGTGATGAAGTAAGCGAAGCGGGCGAGGAAGACGAGGACGCCGAAGGAGAGGGTTTTGACCAGAATGTTCCCCATGCGGTTCGTCTTCGCTACGGCCGTGTCCATGGGAAGATGAAAATGGCGCGAAAGTGAGGAAATCTTGACGCCTGGGAGGATGGCGATGAAGAAGGATCAGATCGGGAGAAAAGACTGAAAGACGTTGATGATGAATAACATAACAATACTCCATAATTTCATAGTCGGAGTAAATCCGTGCTGAAAAATGGAAGTTCATTCGCGCCAAAGCAGAAGGAGCCGTTATGGAGGCTCAAGAGAGTCGGTATTTTGAAGAAATTATGGAGGGCTCAAGACGCAGTCCTCCATTTCTATTCTGGATTTGTTCCCGCGTAAAATACCCCCAAAGCCGGTTATAGTTGCGCACGATATAGTCGGACTTTTCTTGGTTACTGCGCTTCTTCAAACTGGCCTTCGCACGTACCAGGCCCTTCGCACCAGACTTCTACACTTCGGCTTCGCACCAGACTTCTCTGATTTCGCTTGCTTCGCGGTCTGATTTCGCATCAGACACACTGTCGCCGACGTTCATTCCTTTCTCCTTCAACTCACTGCTCACAGCCGCCTCTCGATCACCACTCACCCCTTCCTCTCCGGCACAAACGCAACGGCCCCGGTGTAGTTACCTCTCCTCCTCTGTCTTTCTTTCCACTTTTTTTTTCTCCTTTTCTGACACAGTTTTGCTGTTTAAGCTTGTGATTTTGAGAGACAAGGAGAGTCAAATTCGTTGCTGAGGAATCCTTGCTGCTATTGATCTCAAATGAGTTTTATATTAAATTCAAATAAGTATATGTCTAAAAGAAATGAAAACACACAAACTTATATTGAGCACATTGGAAATGAGTTTTACTTTAAACTCAAATGAGTATAACGTCCAAAATGAATGAGCATACACAAATGAGATTTTGATTTTTTTATACTCATTTTGTAAGTTATGTATGCTCATTTGGTATTGCTTTATGCTCATTTAAAAATGTTTCACATTTCAAACGTCTCATACTACATTAGATTCACATATTGAAATAAATTGAAATTGATTATTAACATAATTTAAGAATTTTTTATAAATGAAAAAATAATAATGAAATTGAATTAGAAAATATTAAGCAAAGATTACTGGTGTTCATTGTTAGACTCTTAATACTCAAAAGAACATATTCAATGTTCATCAGAACTTCATATATGCTCATTTAAGAGAAACCATGATTTTCATTAAAATTACAAAATTGCCACCAGTTGTACTTGCCAGCCGTACAGCCGGATGTATCATATATGCTTCCTGTTATGGTCCCTCATTTGGTCCTGGTTCCATTTTTTGTTTATACTCCCTTCGTATTTATATGTTCCCTACATTTGCTTTTGGCACAAAATTTTTAGGATATAATAGTAAGAGTAGTGAATTGAATAGAGAGTGTGTAAAAGTATGAAAGAGAAGATAAAAAGTAGATAAAGTAAGGGTAGTTGAGTATTATAAAGGATAAACTTACCAAAAATGGAAGTGTTAAGAACTTTTAAATATATCTCAAAAAGGAAAATGTAGGGAACTTTTAAATACGGAGGGAGTATATTTTCTTCGTCCCATAAAATTCTTCTCATTTACATATTTAAGATGTCTAAACAATTCTTCTCATTTACAGATTAGGATGCCTAAAAAATTCTTCTCATTTTGCTTTTTGAAAAGTTTTATGTGACTAATATTCATTTACCTTATTCATATCAACCACAATCATACATACAATACAATTTGTGGTTCCGGTTTCAATTTTCCTTTTTTGATTGTCCGAGAAACTTTGTCACTTCCTCGTTAAAACAACTAGGGAAAACTGTCAAATAGGTCCTCGAACTTTCATAAAAAGGTCAATTAAGTCCTTCTATAAGAGGTTCTGTCCGGCCGTCGTGATTTGGGGCAGTTACCGGTGGAATTTTTTGATGAAATTTTTTGAGCATCTTATTCACCAAGTCTAGTTTACTCATACCAAATTTCAGCTAAAAATTCAATCGGGAACACATTCAAATTAATTCTTGAAGATAACTGCGCATTTTTGCGTTCTCGAATTAATTTGAATGCGCTCCCGATTAAATTTTTAGCTGAAATTCGGTATGAGTAAACTAGACTTGATGAATAAGATGCTCAAAAAATTTCATAAAAAAATTCCACCAGGAACCGCCCCAAATCGCGACGACCGGACAAAGACTCCGATAGAAGGACTTAATTGACTTTTTTATGAAAGTTCGAGGACCTATTTGACAGTTTTCCCAAACAACTAATTTGTTGTTCTGTTAATTTCTTTCTTCTCTACAAAAATATCAATCATACAACTTTTATTTTTCTTATTTCTCTCCAAATTAGAAGAAGACAAAATCCACAGGGACGGAGGTAATTAAAATTATGGAATAAAACGTTTCATTTTGTTCTTGATTTAAGTGTTATGAAAGTATGAAACTGACACTGTGTTCATTAACCATGTTCACATCCTTTTACAAGCTATAAAAAATGTCATAGTTAATACGAAGTACTTTTTTACTCATTAAAATGTGACACTTCTTAGAGCTCAGATAAACATAGAAAATGAATTTGAGAGGATATAATATACCCTACATAGTTTTTGCATAAAATCTTCCAAATCTCAATTTAAGCATATGTGAGTTTTCATTTAAGCATCTAAGTACACAATATGGAAAATGACTTAAAATGATGGAATTCATTATTCACAATTTAAAATGACTTGTCATTACCAATCTAGCCCAACCCATGTGTAGCACGCGGAGGCGCAGAAAGACCCATTTAAAGGAAGGGCCTCCAAATGATACTGATACTGTGATACGTTTAGGCCCTTTAGTAAAAACATTACCTGCATTACTTAAATTTGTTTATGGAGGGATTTTGCACATGAATAATTATAAGAATAAATTCCACTTTTGGTCCTACGAGTTTTAGGTGATTTTCACATTTAGTCCACATCTTTCATTTTGTCCACTTTTGGTACATGACTATTGTGTTTTCGCCCATATTTGGTCCTTCCGGCATTGTTCCCGATGGTTAAAATCGCCGGAAAAGGACCACAAATGGTTAAAAAACATTAGTCAAGTACCAAAAATGGATAAAGTGAAAGACGTAGACTAAAGGTGGAATTAGCACAAAACTCGTAGGACCAAAACTGATATTAATTCTAATTATAACATTGGGGGATGACATATTTTTTAACCCACAAAAACTAATGCGGCAAATTTGATGTATTAAACTCAACTTTAATCATCTTCATCAATCAGCCGTCTTGACTACACTTTGTTAGGGTTTTTTATTTCCGCTGATCAAGTTTCATTCGTGCGGCTGGATTTTTCGTGGAACGAGAGTTTCGCGCGGCTTTCCTCTTTGGAGTTTCGGAACGTGAGTGCGCAAGGGCGGTGGCCGGTGGGGTGCGGCTTGGATTTTTGAGGGCCAAGAAACACAAATCAACATGATAAAGTTTTCTTTTGCATTGCGGACATGAATTTTAATGGCAAATCTCAAGGAGCAAATTGACGAGAGCAAATTGGCGAGCGCAAGAAGAATAGTGTTTCAAACGAATTTCCTGGGGGTTGAAATTCTTTTCTACCATACTACAGCAGCTCGCCTCCTCCGGAACTACCTCCATGCGGGGAAGCAATTTGCGGAAAGTTTTTATTTTCTTTTTATTTTTCCTTTCATAGTTTTTGTTTTTATTTCAGTTCAAGCAGGTGTGGTTGGAGTATTTTGATTTTTGAAGAACTTTTGATAGGCAGTACTGCATTTTCGATTGTTTTAGGCTTCTTCTTGCTCGTTTTGTGTCTAGCGAGTCAGGTTGCTTTGTATGGGTGGCTGGCCCCCTCTAAGTCTATTCCTAGGGCTTATGATCGAATATACTCTATTCCTATGGGTGTCTAGATTTTGTCTTTTGTATTTACTCTATATTAATCAAAAGTGGTTTTGATGTTATAGAAAAAAGTCAACTTTAGGCCGGGCAGGTGTGCTAATTATTGCTTTCCACACTAATCATCATCCATATTACTGCCAATGCTAACAGCATTTCGCCACCCCCGCGGCCCCGCCTCATCACACTAGGATGTCAATCCATCCATGATCCATCTTTTACGTACGTTCAATACCTGATCCATATTTCAGGCCCATGCCAACCTTCTCAGTTAGTCTTGATGCCAAGATACATAGTTCTTCATTCTAGTTACTTTAATCTCATCTAAACCTGCTCAGTAGGCATGGACCGGGCCTGACCGGGCTTTTTTGGGGAAAGTTGTGGCCCGGAACCGACCCGGTTATCCACCGGGTCCGGGCTGGTTTTCCACCGGTTCTGAGCTGGGTCGGTTGTTTTTTTATTGCTTTTCTAATTAACCCCCGACCCTCCCCCTCCTCACCCCCACCCCCCAAAACACCCAACCCAACCCAGGAAAAACAAAAAAAAAAAACAAAAAAAAAAACAAAAAAAGGCCCAATCCTGGCCCGGCCCGACCCGGCCAGTTCCTATTTTGGCTGACCCAAGCTAGCCCTATGTAAACTCCGGGTCAGGCCAACCCGGACCGGTCTCTGGCCAGGCCACCGGGCCGGGCCAGTTCCAAACATTGCCGGGCCGGGCCACCAGCCGGTCGGCCCGGAACCAGTCCATCACTACTGCTCAGGTTCAGAACTTCAGATCAGGCACATGCCAACCTTTTTGTCACTGAGAGGACAGCATGATCCAATGAGCAATGACCAGATGAAGATAATAGTAGTCTAGGAACATTTTTAATTCAAACGATTTGATGACAAATGATTTGAGACACCCAGTAAACATATGCATGGTAGGAATTTAGAATATAATTTACTTCGCCAAAAAAGTAACCAGATTCCGCAATTATGTTTCACTTGAGATTGAGAACCAATCAATCAAAATATTACAGGGCATCAAACGCTTCATACATGGGGAAACCCAGAATATGAGAAGCAAGAGTTAAACATAGGACCACCACAAAAATCTTGAATACCATGTGATGACACCTTAGTGTGATGTGGATGGGGAGTGCCGCTACTTCTTGGCATAGGTGACAGCCATGGGATTCTGCGGTGTAATTTTGAAGCCTTGAAGGGCCTGCATGGCAACGGAAGACTGACCATCATCTTCAAATTCCACGAAGGCAATCCCTGGCTTTGCTTCTATCATCCGGACCTCCCTAAACCCAGGGTACTGATTGAACAGCACTTCCAGCATCATGCTTGTAGTCTCATGAGGCAGATTCTGTATGAATAGTATATTGTTTGGCTCTGTTGTTTCTTGTGCTCCTCCTGCCTTTCCTTGGCGAGCAGCAGCCGTCTGCATAAATTAATTCCTTCAGTTTGATTTACATGGCTTTTGTTTGAAAATTTTAAAAGAAAACACAGAATAATCCGATATTACATCCCGCTTCGTAGCGTCATAATTTTCTTATCAGCCATATTTTTTCCGAGCACGAGATTTGTTTTACTCCGTAACTTTTTTATCTTAGCTTTTTTTTTTATCTTTTTATGTTAGCCAACCCCAAAATCTTTTGGGACTAAGGCTTGGATGTTGTTGTACTAGATTTGTTTTACTATGTGGATTGATTGGTCTATAATAATAAATAGTAGTGCAAATGTACATTTTTGGCAGTTGTATCTTTGTTTTCATATATTGCTTTTTTATTATATCAAGTGTGTATATTTGAATCCCCATATGGCTTAGCGAATTGAGAAATTCAGCCATTACAACTAAAATTACGCAATTTAAGAAAAGTCAGTGTTACCAACTGGGCTTTAACAATATAATAGCATCAATATGAACCAAGTAAAAATGGAATCACAAAATCTTACTGTTGGGCCTCCATTTGCACCTCTTGGGCCATTAGC